TGCTGCTGTGCTCCAGCTGCCACCTCCGGTGCCTCTGGGCCACCAGCAAAACCTGTCACTGTGGGCCTGCCAGAGGCTGGGGGAGCAGAGCAACTCAGTGCCCACCTGGTGCCTCTGCCCCTACCCCCACTGCTGCTACCACCGCTGATCCAGAGGAGAGGTGGTGCAAAGTAATACAGTGCAGGCCACAGCAGCTTGACTGATCCAGAGGGAAGGGGCCAGCATATGCTGTCCCTGTCTGCAACTCACTAGCACACAGCAGTGGGAAGGGTCATCTAGCCAGCACACTTCAGAAGAATTGTAACCAACAAAGAAAGAAATTGGGGCCTCCTGGAAGAAGCAAAAAAGATGGGAAGAAGAAGCAACAACAAAAAGTCCCTAGGCCCCCACCCTGAGAACACTGACCCAGGACAGGTAAATACAAAGGAGACTGAGAACAGCAAACATGCAATATCAGACATGGCACCAGTGGACATAAAGAGATATCTTTGGGACCTCATGATGAGTTCAAAAGTGAAATATTTAGTCAAATAAAGCAAGATATAAGAAGATTAGTGAAAGAGATACGCACCCCTCAAACAGACACAGATGGAAGAAGGGAGGAACTCAGACACAGGAGAGAACCATTTGATAAAGAATATAAAAACTATAGAATACATGAAGCAGATTCAAAGAGATCACTAGGAAATTAAAAACTCTATGGAAAGATGGCAAATCAGCTTGAAACTAAGGATAGATTACTCAAACTGGAGGACAATTTTGCAATGTGGGAGTATGAAAGGGAAAACTTTTAAAAAATAACAAGGAAACAAGCAATAACAATACAAAGGCTAGAAGAGGACAAAAGGATCTATAACTTGAGAATAAAGAATGTGAATGAAGAAGCTGGGGTACAAACAAAGGAACTACAAAAGTTAGTCACAGAAATAATTAAGGAAAACTTCCCAAATATAGGAATAGGAAATGATATTCTGATATCTGAGGCATACAGAACTCCAGCCAGCTACATCCAAAACAGAGCTACACTCAGGCATATAATAACCAAGGTCCCAGAAATTCAATATAAGAACAGAATATTAAAAGCTGTTAGAGATAAGAAACAGATAACCTATAGAGGAAGGCCCATCAGAATAATGGCAGACTTCTCCACACAAACAATTAAGTAAAGAAGAGCCTGGAGCAAAAGATTCCAAGCCCTGAAAGAAAATAACCTTCATCCCATATGGACTGCTAAACTGATGGACCCTGCTAAACTGTCTCTAGAAATTAATGGAGAAACAAGATGCTTCCAAGACAAAGAGGAGCTTGGGAAATTCACAACAATCAATCCAACTCTACAGTGAATACTGCAGGGCATTCTAGAGAGAGAGAAAAGTACTAGGATTCCAGGAACAGAGGCAGAGAGGCCTCAATGAATGGAGCAGAAAACAGAATGAAGAAGATAAGCAGACAACTGATGACAAAAAAAGAGCATAACATAAATGAAGCAGAGAAGATTTTATTCAAAACTGATATGATTGATAGTATCAATTCTGAGAGTATAGGCAACTACACTGAAGATGACAAGACTCTACGATACACATTCTGGTTTGATAACTGCCTGCTTTAGAAGTTTTATACTATATACAAAGTTGTGTTTTTATTAATACTGTTATGTACTGATACATTCAATTATACTATGTCTGATGTTATAGCCAAATCTATTGGACATAACAAGTGACAACACAGGAACCATGGTAGAACTCTTTGTACAATGGTCTTATATATTTATTTCATTTCATGTGTTTATAGGAATATATTTTGTTTTGCCTTGCTTTGTTTTGTTTCTCCCTCTAATATAGAAAGGATAGAAATACATGTTAAGAATCATGTATGTGTAGAATCCATTAAACAGTTCATGAGAACTGATCTTATGACACATGATGAAATGAACAGATACTTTGAAGAAAAAGAGACACTAAAATACCCAGTGTTGATTCTGGAGTGTCATAATGTGAAACCCAGCAATAGTATTATTCTTTGTTCAGAGTGATATTAGACTGCTTGGGTTTATTCAATCTCACCATAATTGAAGATATGGATAAGTACATGTATGTTTAAGTGTATAGGATTGATAACCATATTTCTAAGTTTTTGTTGGATAGTTGAACAGAACAGGTTGCAGTCTCACTGTTTGAATCCCCACTTCATATGCTCCACTATAGTACTTTGAATAACTATTTGTAAGAAGACAATCTGTAATCATCAACTAGTAATTTCTTACTGTTTATTTTTTCTTTGAAATTGTGTATTATTTCTACCTGTTTTCTGTTTGGTTTAGTCTTTCTTTAAATTAAATTTTAAAAAAAGACACTATAGTACCCAGTGCTGATCACAGAGTGTCATGATGTGAAATCTAGCAATACTATTATTCTTTGTTCAGAACTATTTTAACCTGCTTTAGTTTGTTTAATCTAAACATAAATGAAGATATGAATAACTGCATGTATGTTTAAGTGTATAGGATTGCCAACCATGTTACTAAGTTTCTGTTGGACGGTTGAATAGAACTGTTTGCAGTCTCACTGTTTGAATTCCCACTTTACATGTTCCATTCTTGTACCTTGAACAATTATTTGTAAAACGACAATATGTAAACATCAACTAGTGATTGCTTACTGTTTTTTTTTCTCTGAATGTGTGTATTATTTCTACCTATTTTCTGTTATGTTTAGTCTTTCTTTAAATAAAATTTTTTAAAAAGTCACTTAAATTCTTAATCTTGTTCCTCAATATATAATTTCCCTCTACTGGGCATTATTTTTTTCTCTTTATCTTCATGTTTTGAAGTTTGAGTGTGATGTGTCTATTATGTACCTCGGAACAGGCAGTATTTGTCCTGCTTGGTGATCTCTGATATTCTTGAGGCTATGAGTTGGTATTTTTTTATAGTTTGAAAGATAAATTCTCAGCTATTATCTGTTTGTCTGTGTTTGGTCCTCTGGTGTACTCTTTTTCTGTTGTACTTATTTCTCATGTGTTACATATTTTAATATTGTCTCACTTTTTCCTGAAGGTTTTTTTGCGTTTAACATTATCATAAATCTTTTCGTTAAGTTTTTTCTTTGTGTTTCATTTTGAGAAGTTTCTTTAGTCTTGTTTTCAACAGTGCTGATATTTTCTTTGGCCATGTAAAGAATAATGAGTACACTGAAAACATTTTCTTGTTTTTTCCCCAGTGTTTTTGATTTACTGTATTTCTTTTTAATGCATCCATAAGGATTTTATTATTGCTTACAGTACCCATTTCTTTTCCAATTACAAGTCTTCACAAAGTTATTGTAGTTGTTTTTAAATTCTGTGTCTGGTCTTTCCAACATCTGTGTCACATCTAAATCAGGTGGTGATAGAAGTTTCCTACTTTGGACTGTATTTCTTTTTTGGATTTTGGCATGAAAATCAGTTTTTATTGAACTCTCACCATTTTGAATTGGGCAGTGGACCCTTAGGCAAGCAGGCCTTTAATCGAGGACCTGTGCCAACTGGTTGATGGGTGGCTATATTTGCTGTTTGCTGTGGTTGCACATACTGAGACCTTCAAATTCCTCTTAGCACCTTGTGTTCATGCTTACTTGATTCTGGGGCTTCCCTGTGCATGTCTCTTCAGAGCAGCTGCCTTGTGGCTTTTTCACTTTTAATTCATTGCTCCTCCATCATGCTGGAGCCATCTGGTATAAGGGTGAAATAGGGCTTAGGGATGGCATTCTATAATCTTAAGAGTCTTAGTACTTCTCTGGCCTGTGACCTGAATAGGCATTTCTCCATGGACACTGTCCACTGTGCCAGGCTATGTCTGAGAGGGCTCATGCGTGAGACTCCAGTGTGCAGGGGCCATTGCCTTCCTCCTCCCCCCGGGTGACAGTGCTGGTAAATCCTTCCCTGGTAAATCCTGAGGAACTTTGGCTGTTCCTCAGCCTCTCTGATCCAGCCCACAAAATTTTAGGGTCACCTCAGATTGTGATCCTCATTTTTTCAAAGAGCCCAGTCTGTTTTTAGCCTTCAGCAGTATGTCAAAATTGCCATTTATGTGGCAACAGATCTCTGACTATCTCACATTGAAAGGGTAGTCTCTGCGTATTTTGAAGTGGGAATTTGCTTTGCTGTATCAGTTGTCTAATGGGACTGAAAGGGTGTTGATTTTTTGCTTGCTTTCCTCTTTATTTTTTTGTTTGTTTTTTGGGGCAGGGTCTTGCTGTTTATCTTAGGTTGGCCTTGAATTCACTATGTAGCCCAGGCTGACCTTGAACTCCTGGAGAGTGCTGAAATTGCAAGTGTGCACCACCATGCCCAGCCTGTGTAACCACGCCTAGCCTGGTTTTCTTAGGTTGAGCGCTGGAGTGATCTAAATTCTTTACATATTTGAATAGAAATAAAGTCACTTAAGACCTGTATGAATGTCCTTTAAAGTTTTGTTTGTGCTAGGGAGTTGTCTTTTCCAGTGTCTATTTGCAGTTTCTTACCATTTTATTCACCGTGTATACACCTTGGCCTTTACTCTAATTCTAGTCATGAGCAAAAATTGAGAGAAACTGAGATGATTCATTAGAAAGGAGTAGTACTAACACCAGAATAAATAACCTTAAAAATACCTTTAGAAAATGGGAAAATATTGCATGCATAAGAGCTTTTGTTCTGAAATTCTGTTACTGATCATGATTCTGAAAAACACAATTCTAAAAATCATGGGGATATTGTAATCTTGCATGATCAAAATTCATTAGTCTAAGATTCCTAGTGTCTAAAAATTATTTTTTTAAAGTTTAAAATCTTGGAGATGTTACCCTGAATGTTGCGATTCTGAAGACTAAAATCTCAAAGAGTGTAATTCTTATTTTTAAGAAATATTACATAAGGGGGAACGGAAAGCCAAGTTCTGGGTGAGAGCTTGGCCATATAATATAGCAACATGGAAATTTTCAATTTAAAAATGTGTCATTTCTCTGCATTGGTATTCTTTCCAGCTGAAGAAATTCCAGGAGCTTCTAATGAATTAAAGCTGCACTTGCCTGAAGAAGCCAGCCAAGTTACTGACTAGTTTGCAAATAATTATGTGCATGGAAGGATAAGAAGATATGCAATCATGTTGCTTTTCAGTCACCACTATTATTTCTGCCAAATTTGTTGTCTGTATATGAATGCATGAGAAATTAATTTCTGAATGCTCAAATTTACATAGAAACATAGCATGGAAGATGGGAAAATTTAAAAGGAAATTCACATGTTCATGTATACCTAATTAGAATAACTGCAAAAAAGAGCAATGTCACACAGGAAATGAATGTGAATGTGTTCCCTGAAGAGAGCTTTGCCTTAAAAAGAAAAAGAAAAGCAGTTATTCATTGTCATGCAAGACTTCAAAGTAGAGTCAATGATTAAAAGTTGCCACTGCCCACAATCTAGCCTTGTAATACATTCTTTTTTATTTTTTTCTGTCTTTTTCAGTACCAGGGATCGAACTCAAGACTGCCTGCTTGCAAGGCAGGTGCTTATGCCGCTGAGCTAAATCCCCAGCCCCTTACATTCTTTTTTTTTTTTTACATCAAATGTTCTTTTTAGCAAATTTTCTTTTGTTTGTTGAGAAGAGAACTTATTTTTCTTTTTCTTTGAATAATTATTTTTCTTTTAATAATTAATTTCCATCTTGACATCATTTCCCATGTTGAAGGTATAAACTAAAGATTTTAGAGACTTCCAGTTCTTTTTAATATTCTTCACAAATTTGACTCTGAAAGTACTTTATTGCTATATTGATTGTATGGGGCACTGCATGCATACAAACCTTGCATCTTCTTCAGTACATAAAGAGATATACTGTTTGCGTAACTCCTTTTGTGAGAGACAGACAATACTTCTGGAGATCATACTTTGGGGTGAAATCTTTGCATATGTGATAGTAATCAACAATGGTTTGTGATTACTCTTGTTGAAAGACTAAGATTATTCATCATACTATTCCATAGGAGCTGGCTGCAAAGCTGGATTTTCACAGTGGCCAAGCAGAATGAAGTTCTACATTTTTCTTTTTGATCTATTTGCAAAATAAGCAGTTTGTGATGATTGTTGTGTTTATGCTTGTAGAAATATATATCATTGTTTCTTATTTTATTGTGTAGAGTGGCTTATGAAGTGTTCTGTCATGCTTTTAGATTTCTCAAAATAAATTTCCTTTAAAATATAAATAAATGTCCTTAAAATAACTTGTTAGGTTATAGTTTCTAGAATTATATTTTCTGCCTTTTGGTCATTTAAGGCTTTGATCTTTTGGGATTTCAGCACTGAGAATATGGCATTAGGTATTGTGTCTTTGGGGACTGCCGTGCCAAAGCCCAAGTCCCCCTTACCTCTGGGTTTCCCAGGAAGGGAAACTGCCATAGCAGTGCCACTAATGAGTATACTTTTATGAATATGTTCATGATCAGGAAATGCCACCTCCCAGCCAGGCTTTGGGGAAAGCTGGTCTGCAGAAGGTGGTTTTCATAAATGTCCACACTCCAAGGGAGCTGAAGCATCAGGTGAGAGGCAGAACTCAGGAATAGGTAGGATACCCTGAAGTGTGTTTATGGATCTTCCTGAAATTCTGGGATCCCAAGAGTCTCTGGAATGCTGCCATACCCATCCTCCTCTGACCTCATCCTTCATGAATGGCAAATAACTTGGCAGAATGATTGAAGAGCCTTGGCTTTGGGGAGTAAGAGGCATGGAGAGGAAGTAGGTGGAATTTAGGACAAATGCTGAAGAGTGAAGTCTGAGGTTGAGAAAGTCTTGGGGTTGAGGTATACTGAACTCTAGGAGCATGTGTGCACCTTAAATATCACAGCCGTACCTACTGACAGCAGACCCTTTGGTTGGCACGCAGCAGGCCCTGAGTTCTATTTCAACCATGAGGAAAAAATCATAAAACTGCTTCATATAAATTAGTTCTTGTAATTCTAAGAGTCTTGAGGATATCAAATTTAATTTCCTGTATTTTTTAGAAGGGAAAGATAAGGCAAGAAATTTCCCCAAAGTCAGTTAGGAGAAAGAAATAGGGAGAGACTCAAAATAGCATGATTCTGCGCATCACCTGGGGACTTCAATGTTTATATCAGCAAAACGTTTTCTTCAGGATTGTAGCTAATTTCTACCTAGAAAAAACAGTTTCTAGCCCATTAGAAGAAGTACTTATCTTTGAGTTTAGGTTATTGTCTAAAGGGAGAAGCCATGAAATTCCAACACACAAAGTGGAGGTGCACAGAACGAAGCCATCTTGAGAGTTTTTATTACTCAGTGAATGTGGTACCACTCACTCCATGTTCCGATTTCTGTCCATGATGGGGATTTGGCAGCCACAGTTCCAGGTCTCTGGGCATGTCCTGCTTATGGAGACTCTCTGTGCTCCTCCTCGGCTTATTCCAAGAAAAAGTTGTCCACAAGGAAATCTTATTGTCTAGTTAGTAAAATAATGATATGATTATGCCAAATCCATTATCTAGCCTCATGTATGACACATAGCATGAATTCAAATGGTTCTTTAAAGAATATGTCAGCACTGGGCCAGTGCAGCAGGTCCTGAGTGGGCCTGGAATAGCCTTCCCACTCCTGGTCATGCTTGCGGACTCTGGTGTTCTAAGTAAGCAGGCACCATCAGTTCCGGAGGCTGGGCTTGAGCCGGCCTGCCCCACACACAGTGATCCTCTCTCAATCTGAGGAACTGGATGGCCAGAGTCTCAGGAGCTGAGGGCATAGAAGAGGATTTCCAACAGACCCTGGGGAAGCCTTGGACTAACACTTGAAACACAGAAATAAAGGAAAACAACAAAACGAAACACCAAGTTACTATCTCAAACTTCCAGCACATCTCAAGAAAACTTAGGAGCTATGTATGCCATACACCTGAAATATCAGACAAAATAACTACTGAAATAAAGAAGCAACTCTGGGAAGCTTTAAAGGAATTCAAACTAGAAATAAACTCTGAGGTAAAAGAAGAAATGATAAAAGAAATGAAGGAGATGCTGAACATATCTAAAGAAGACACAGTTAAAAAAATCGGAGGAGCTAAACAAAAAGATAGAATCCCTGGATGAGCAATATAAGAAACAAACAGAATCATAAAGCACACGCAAAGAGATATACAGGAAATCAAAAATTCCATTGAAAGCTATAAAAACCACCTCAATGAAAGTGAAGATAGAATTTCAGACCTAGAAGACAAGATTGCAGCTAGTGAACAGGAAAGGAAAGATCTTTCAAAAATAACAAGAAGCCAGGAAAGAAAAATTCAACACCTGCAAGATGACACAAAGTAAAACAACATAAAATTGATAGGGATAAATGAAAAAGAAGGAGACAACATAAATGATGTCTAGAGGATATTTAGAGAAGCAATAGCTAAAAATTTCCCAAACATGAGAATGGAAAATAACATCAGGATCAGTGAAGCATATAGTCATAACCTAAATAAAACTACTCCCAGACATATAATAATCACCATCACAGAAATCCAATGTAAGAATAGAATATTAAAAGCTGTTAGAGAGAAAAGACAGATCACTTATAAAGGAAAACCTATCAGAAACACAGCAGACTTCTCAGCACAAACAATAAAGTCAAGAAGAGCATGGAATGAAGTATTTCATATCCTAAAGGAAAATGATTTGCAACCTAGACTGATGTACCCTGCAAAACTGTACCTCAAAATTGATGAAGAAATAGATACTTCCACGACAAAGAAATAGCTCAAGAACTTCATGATTGCCAAGCCAACCCTGCAAAGAATATTAAAAGACAGTTTAGATACACTTAGGAAAAAAAAAAAAAACCACTAAGCAAAGCAGACAATTAAACAGAACTGAAAGATAAGGATGCAATGGCAGAAAGATAACATGTCAAAAATAAACCAACATACAACAGTTATAACCGTTAATGTAAAGGGTCTCAATGCACAAATTAAAAGAAACAGACTGGCAGAATGTATCAAGAAACAACATCCAACCATATGCTGTCTACGAGAAACCTATATAACCTAAAAGGATACTCATAGACTGAAAGTCAAAGGATGGAAAACAATACTTCATGCAACAGGAAGCCCGAAAAAAGCAGGAGTAGCTATTCTGTTTGCAGCCAATGTGAACTTTAAATCAATAATGATCAGAAGAGATAAAGAAGGTCACTACATACTGGTTAGGGGAAAACTTCAAGAGGAAGAGATAACTATCTTAAATATATATGCACCAAATTCCAGAGCACCAAGTTATATAAAATGGGTATTAACAGAAATGAAAAGCCAAATTAGCAGTAATACAATTATAACAGGAGACTTTAACACACCATTGACACCAATGGACAGATCAACCACACAGAAAATCAGAAAGAAATAACAGAAATAAATTACACCTGTGAACAAACGGACTTGATAGACATATATAGTGTTCTATAAAGCAACATCAAAATACACATTTTTCTCAGCAGTACATGGGTCATTCCCTAAAATAGACCATATTTAGCTCACAGAATGTATTTAAATAAATGCAGAAGAGTTGAAATTATCCTTCGCATGTTGTCAGATCATAGCTCTATGAAATTAGAAATTAATGATAAGAGATACTGCAAAAATCCTACAAACACATGGAAACTGAATAACACACTCTTGGGTAATCAGTGAGTCACAGGGTAAATTAAAGAAGAAATTAAACAATACCTACAAGCAAACAAAAACACAAATAAAACTTACTGGAATCTGTGGGATGCAATGAAAGCTGTCCTCAGAGGAAAACTTATTGCACTGAGTTCCCCCATTGGAAAACAGAATGAATACAAATAAATAACCTGATGTTACACCTCAAACATCTAGAAAAAGAAGAGCAAGTCAAGTCCAAAGTCAAAAGAAGAGAGGAAATTATAAAAATCAGAGCAGAAATCAATGCAATAGAGACTAAAAACACAATCCAAAGAATCAATGAATCAAAACAGCAAGTGTGTTTAGGGGTGTTAAATAGCTGACTATATTAATGTTTTTGGATCATTGAACACAGCTGTTTGCAGTCTCTCTGTTTGAATGTCTACTTTGTATTCTTTGATACTGTGATTTGAGCAACTATTTCCAAGATGATAATATGTAATCTATTAACAGGTGATTTCTTACTGTTATGGTTTTTTTTGTAGTTCTGTATTATGTGTAACCTTATACTGCTTTGTTTTGTTTTGTGTTTTTCTCTTTTTCTTCTTAAATAAAAAAAGAGTTAGTTCTTTGAAAGAGTAAATAAAATTTATAAGCCCCTACCCAACCTTATTAAAAAAGGGAAGTAAAAGCTCAAATTCATGTAATAAGAAATGAAAAAGGTGAAATCACTAAAGACTCTATAGAAACACAGAAGACCATCAACACCTGTTTGGAAAACCACTACTCTCAAAGGTTTGATAACACAGAAGAAATAGACAGATTTCTAGAAACATATGAAGTACCAAAACTATGTCAAGAAGATGTAAAACTGCTGAAAAACCCAATTTCTATTAATGAAATTGAAAATGTAATTAAGTCCTTACCTACAAAGAAGAGCCCAGGCCCAGAGGGATTCATCACAGAATTCTATAAGAAATACAAAGACTTAATGCTGACACTCCTCAAACAATTCAAGGAAACAGAAAGGGAAGCAATCCTTTCTAAGTCATTCCTGGAAGCAAATATTACCCTAGTACCAAAACTGGAGAAAGACTCAACTAAAAAAGAGAACTATAGACCAATCTCCCTAATGAACACAGATGCAAAAATCCTCAATGAAAAATTGACAAATAGGATGGAGCAAATCATCAAAAAGATGATATACTACGACCAAGAGGGATTCATCCCAGGCATTCAGGGATGTTTCAACATATGTTAATCAATAAATGTAATCCACCATATCAATAAAGCCAAAAGTAAGAATCACATGATAATTTCTATAGATGCAGAAAAAGCTTTTGAGAAGGTCCAACGTTCATTTATGATAAAAACGTTACAAAAAATGGGAATAGATGGTCTTTATCTCAATATAATACAGGCCATCTATGACAAATCAATAGCCAGTATCATACTAAATGGCCAAAAATTGAAGGCCTTTACTGTAAAATCAGGCACAAGACAAGGATGTCCCTTATCACCTCTCCAAGT